ATACGCTGAACATATATTTGCTCGTCATTTGTGTCATAAAAATCAGGTTCTGTATATATACAACACTTGTTTCCCTTTTTGTTTCAGAGTTTGACCGATTCGCCATTCTCTGTCACTTTTACCTCTCTTCTGTATTTACTCTGTCTGCCAAAATTGTGATGGACAAATATAATTCAGCGATATGATTTTGACAATTGCTTCGTGTTATTATTATTGTATTTACAGATTTTCAATAGTTTTTGAATAAAAATATTTGTGGAGTAGACTTTCATGTGTTTATTTTTAGTAGCGGTATTGTTTAATCGATAACGATGTTATGTATGTATGGTGGTGGTACAGAGTTTGGTTGGTTGTTTCATTGGTAAATATACCAAGACTTCAACATAGACATGCTTTTTTAAGAATAACGTCTCCCAGTAATGTTTCCCGTTATATCTTACTTCATTTACCAAACATTGGAACTTAAGTCTGGAGACGTTATATTGTGGAATTAGATGACACATTAACAGAAACTCGGATATATCCATCATATTCTAAGTCCTGATTCCTAATAGAGTCGCGCTTGTATGCTCCCGAGGACTCACAAAATTTTTTAATAGTCCAATTAAAGTCAGTACATAGTGAGAACCGTAATCAGTGACACTTATTTTTTTCTGGTTGCTCTTCAGTTAATGTAGTGGGTTGGTACTGAAATCACCTTCGAATTTATCCGTCTATCTTATAAACATTGATTTTCAGTTATATTTATTGACTATTCTTATATCTGATCATGTCAAAGTTAAAGTGATAATTAGATAATTGTTTGAAAATATAGTTTTTCTCAAATGAATAGTGAACATGGGAATTTCGAAATTCTTATGTGATAGTTCGCTTATCAATTTTAGTACTAGGTATTTGTTTGATTATTCATACAATTAGAATAATTTTACAGCAATCAAGTTATTTAGTTTTACTATACTGTATGTCATTACAAAAGCTTTTTATCGTCTTGATGTCTTCGTAGAAAATTATTTATCTCTAAAAAACAGTAAACCATGGTTATTCCATTAAGCAGTTGGTTTAATAATCACACTCAACTTATCTCAATCTTTAGGGAAATTCTTTTTATCACTTTAATAAGAAGGAGTTTTGCTGTCAGCTCATTGACGCATGTATTTCAACTGAACGTATACAGGTCTAAGTCGTTGAAATAAAATCCTTTAAACGTTTCTCCCAACGAAATGTTTATTTATGTATATGCATATATATAATACAGGGAGTGAGCAAAACAATATAACTATTACCTTTATATCTGGCACTAAAATATTTTAGAGAACATCTCTTCCATGGAAATCAATTTTTGGACCTTTTAGATAGAGTACTACCCATTTACTTTCGAATGTATTAAGGTTCAGTAATTGATTGTGTTCCACACTCACGTTAAATTGTCAACTTCTTTTAATATCTCTTGATAATGAGAGATAATCACGATGGTTATTTAGCTTTTCGGATAATATTCGATTGTTATCTTACCCCTATATTTCATCGCTCTACTTATAAAATATTTAAGATAATCGTTTGTTCAAAATGAGAACTTAACTTGTTTCGGTTCTGTGTTTTACTTCTAGTTCTGCAGCGAGATGGTTAACTCTGTTTATGAGTTGTTTAGTAACTATCGTTACTTGGTTTGTTGATTTATAAATCTTCGAAAGCATCAGCTTTATGAAATGCTAAGTGTCACATTATTGTCTTGTCGTCTTTCAACTAAACATTCAGAGAATTTCGGTTTATGGTCCTCGAAAAATTCAATGCCATCGGATATAGTAATTATGCTTATTAAAAGTTTGCACAGAAAGTCTTTTAAACTTACTAGTTGTTATATAAATGTTGGATGGAGCGATCTATTTCATAATTCCACTTAGTCTCAGGAAATTTAAATGAATTCTCCAATAGTCTGAAAACTGGAGACCCTCATTACTATTTCTATACATTACTGTAGATCTGATTAAAGTATAGAAAGAGAAACATAATTGTAAAATCTTTATAGTTTTAGTATCTAATAGAAAGCACAAACATAAATTAATACTTATACCCACGATTTATATGTATTATCATATATTAGCCTCATATATACCTAACTCGACAAAGAAGAGACACTGGAACTTGGTTTCACTTTTACCAACTCACTGTGATTAGGTTAATTTTTAGATGGTAGAGAAGATTTGTAGCACAGTAGGATGGCTTTTGTCAAGTAGCCATCTCGTAACTGGGTAGTCTAGTGATAGTTTCATTGTCCTTCTAGTCAACATCATTAGGAGAAGCTTCATGAACTGATGTGCAATAATTCCTTACAAGCAGAACCCAAGTGGAAATATTGTTTATGCTTTACATATACTCTATATATTTATTTATATGTGCATACCTATTTATGTTTACATCATTTTCGTTCTTAATAAAACGTCCGATTTATTTTTACTTATTTATTGTACTCAATCATTCATCCTACTGCAGTGTAGTCTCAATAATAATAATAAATACCAATCGTTTATGCTTATTGTTGATAAGATCAATAAAGTAGAATGAGCTACAAATTTTCATATTATTTCTTTTTAAGAATATATGGAATTTTATGAAATTAAATTTTAGCAAACGTAATGCTTTTCTGTATTGAAATTGCAAACTTTTTGACTAGAATATTATCGTGTATTTATATTTCTATGTTCTTCTTTAAATGGAAACTTAGTAACCGGACTAGGATAAGCACTTAGGAACTTTTTTATTGTTTTTTTTTCCTAAAAAATTATGTGAAGGAACTTGTAGGCAAAATGATTATTTGTCTGAATTTCAAACACTTAGTTATTAAAACGTTTGTAACTGAAAATTAATGCACGTTGTCTTGATCAGAATTAGATAATTCATCACATACTAATTTACGTTAATTGTGTGTATTGAATTTTTATTAGTGTAGATGTTAAATTATTTTAATTACGAAAATTGGCATTAGTTTTAGTTTCTGAAATCTTGTTGTGTTGTTGGTAATCAATACCACTTATCTGTTGAGTTTAATGTAGAACAGTTTAAAGTATCCTTAAAGTTTACACTTTTTTAAAGCGTTTTAAGTACTTGCTGCTTAGAGGATGTAATCTATATTATCACCTTAGTATCATTCCTAACACGCCGAATCTGTGTAGATAGTTGTCGCTTTCTTGACCATTCAAATACTAGTATTTGACTATAAGTGTTTTCAAAGTATTACTATCGTATGTTGGAACCCCTGAATGAGCACTGTTAAAGCTAGACGCATGGTGCTAAACGAAGATTGTAAATCTGACTGAGGTGCTTGAGACATGTATTACGTATGCCCAACAACTGCCTACTTTGACTCATGATATTTGATGACCTAGGAGCGAGTCGGAAGAAAACTAGGGGTGTTCAGAATAAAACTTGGCAGCGATCCGGGAAGTCATTGACCACTAGACTAAGCCATGCTAGTAAATTCTGACGACTTTGCTGAGGTCCACTCAATTATCATAACTAGCGGTTTGAGACGAATCATACGGCTCAGAATTGATTTCAGTGACACAGGCCCACTCATTCTTCATCTTTCCTAAGATCCTGTGTTTTGAAATTATTTTATACCTTCTATGCATCTTTCTCGAATCATATTCTCTATGCCTAATTTCTTCTCACTATCACTGATACTGTTACTACTTTTACGGCTTTGACATTCATTTTGATAACATTTTCTCTTTGCGATGTGGTGTGGGTATGCTTACTGATATAGTGATGTGCCGGATTTTACATTGGTTATGACTGATTAACTTATTGATCGCTACGTTTTTATCAACACTTGATCTGTTTTTCTACTGCAAAAAATCAAGTATCATGTGGGATTAGTAATTTTTAAAGAGATTGGAAGTTACCAACAACTAACGTTTCTGTTGATCACTCAATATGTATCTGAGATCGTAGTGCCAAGTTTTGATACCATTGTCTTGACTTTCATCGACTCATGATTTTGCCACTGCACTTTTTCCGTTGCAAAGATTCTTTAGACAATCGTTATTAGAGATATTGCTTCGACTAAGCAATTTGACGTCATTGTCATTTTTATGGGATTGTGGATGCGGAAGTGCTTTTTATGTTAGTGAAATATAGTAGGCAGTGACATAAGCACTTAGAAATAACCTAATCTACCCTACTTTTATTCCAAAGATCATAATGTTTTCTTGATTATGCGATTTCGAATAGAGAACCTGTCGACATCACTAGACAATTAAAAAATGATTCATCTTTAAATATTATGTCCGTGGGATGGTAGTTTCGATTTTGACAATACTCATCATCAAAATATATAGTAATCAATCCGATCAACCGTATAATTGTTTCGTGATGAAAATGCTACTTCATCAGGTAACTACTAGTGTGATGTGTGTTACTAATGTCGATAGATATAAGTGGTATGTATCATCAATGGAAAGTGAAATACCTGGAGGCAGAATGTTAAGAAGATCAAAGAAAAGAGAATGAGAACAGAATGATTGGTGTGGAAACGAACAGACAATTAGGTCTGAGACGACTGATTAACATTTCGCAAATGAAGTATTTACTGTATAGTTCTCAGATTTTACTAAGACTCTCTGTTTTTCGTTGATATATAAACTCTGAAAACAATGGCTCTCCAAAACTTTTGTCTCTATAAAGATTTTATTGAAATCGCGTTTTCTGAGCTGGGCGGCTTAGTCGTAAGGTCTTCGTTGTCTTTCTACTTTCATACATATATTAGGGATTCAGATGGAATATGTTTCTTGTTCGTTTTACTTTACTTATTAAATTTGAAACAAAATTTGTATGTCTTCTAATCTGAAAAAATACTTAATCGAATCATACTGCTCATCCATATGCACTTTGAGTTGATTTAATTTTATTCATTGCATGATTGAAAAATTTTATTATTTAGTCAGTTAATCAACATTAATTACTTAAGTGATTTATCACAGATTTTCTTATATGAACTTTTAGCCGCTCTTATGCCAACTTCGACAGATTTTATATCTAAATCTAAAAGAGAAAAATGCTGGGAAACACGTGATGCATTTTGGGAATGTGTTATTGATGTAATTTCAAAAAATTCAGAACCTGATGACAAGTTGATAAGAAAACAATGTAGCAAACAAAGAAAACTTTACGAAGAAATGTGTCCACGAGTATGGGTTAGTTCACTGTATGGTATTTGATTTTTAGAACTCCAGAAGTAGTTAGATTACATACATTCAGCTGATCTTACGAGTCTAAGCACAATACGTAACTGATTAATCATAATTCACTGTTTCCTTTTTAGATACATACATATAAATGAATTTTAGTTCAAACAGACACACACCACGGGAATTGACGTAAATATATGTTTTTTTAGTCTGCCACTTTTTATATCATACGGACAAAAAAACAGTAAAAGATAGGGCAAAAATGTCTCATTAATATTAGTAACAACATTGGTTAGCTAAAATTAATATGGGAAAACTTATTGTTATCTTGTGGACTGCACCTAGGAAGCGTACACCTTCCTATACGGCTCATCCAAACATCTGATATCATATTTTGGTCTGCTCATTTTCACATTTTTCCAATCTACTTTTATGCTGTTACTCAGGTTATCCGTCCTGTAAGTTGTCGAGTTTTCTGATTCCTGCGAATGATCAGTTTAAAAAATGACTCGAGATCAATGAATTTTACCTCTACGTTAATTTAGAGTCGTTAGATAGTCTTAATATTTACCAACCTTCATGTTTTTGCTTCTATGTTTTGTACCAATGTGTGACTAGGATGTAATTAGTGATATTCTCAATGTTCTTTGTTACTGATTTATTGTAGTGGTGCGGTGGAGACTTAAATTTCAGCCATTAGGTTATGGTTTTCTCACTTGCGTTTCTTGAGTGTATTGGTCCGATTGTGATGTTTCATTTGCGCTACAGTCTGCTTGGCCTATCCGGTTACAAAATACTCGCTCTTGCTAAGCACTTAACCCAACTGCTATGCAGTTGAAAGGACTGAAAACAATGGTGAAGCTTTAATTGTCAGGTTCGAATAAGCTGTACACAACTCAGATAATGATTTGTAAGTAATAACCTTGGATAGGTGAGTAATTCACAATGTTATGCCTCGTTTGTACTTTTCACCCACTGGTGGTCTCCAGATATGTTGTCTGACTTTCGGAACACATAACATGTTCATGCTCATTTAGCCTTCCCTTATTGAGAGGGTTTTTTTTCTGGTTTTCAATCGAGGCGAGGTCATGTAAATTTGTCATTCTTAACATGATCAGCAACACTAGTGGTCTTGAATGAACTCAGTAAGGCATTCTACAGTATTATCAATCTCCACTGATGGAGCTACTTGATGTGTGCAAAATTCCCATTTACTGGCTGTATACTTCAGTCATATGTGCTAGATAAGGAACATGAATTTTAAGTCATTAATTGTTCATTTTAATCGTTCCAGAAGATGTTGATTAAGAAACCAGAAGTTTGCATTTAGAAGAATCTACCTACTATGAACTGATCAGTTTATCACACGTTTCTTAGTTTATTCTTTTATGTAGGCTTACAACTAAATAAGTGTTCATTGGTGTTTATTATTCTAACTGTAATTTGCTTATGACGGGAAACCTCTTTCTAACGAAGCTTCCTACAAGCTATTGTACTGTTCTGTTCTACGTTTTAAATATCAATATTGTAATGACATCAATGTTTTTAAAATTCTGATCATTAACTTTTGTAACTTAATCTTTCGATTTTGAAGTGGTGGTTTCCTCAATCTTAGTCTCTATTTTAAATATTTTAGCATAATACAGTGTATATAGTACTTCTACATTAAATTAGATGAAAATACTTTAATTTATAAATCATCAACAATATTTTAGTCTTTTTTTCTTTATTCAATTAAGACCGTAACGGAAGTTAGTATGATTGAGTTTTGAGATCTGTTAATTATTTAACTTTACTTAGCAACCACATACACAGGTCCATATAAATAGATTGATAATTACTGCTTGGTTACTTGTATCTTAGTAAATAGAGTGATAATTGTACTAATCACCCAGTAAATGAAATGAAACTAAACTATGGTTTCAAGAGCGTTTTTCTTAAAGATTATATCATATGAATTCACTTGGTGTTATTTGCTTGAATCTTCCGATTGTTGTTTAGGACTGCAATTGATCAGTCTCTTGTTGGCATATGTACATCTTGTCCGGATTACCTCGATATTGTCTTAAGTCACAAGCTTTGTAATCAAAGATGGATACTGACTAGCAGTGGAATCCGGAACGTGTTTCGTTCTACTTAGGACTCGTCAGCTGTATGTACCTGCACCCCAGAGTTGATATTCACTCCGGGACTTGAATGCAGTACCGTTGGCTTCAAATGCCATCGTGTTATCCACTTAGCTACTGAATCATGATTTGCTATATTCATTTGTTCAGTTGATACATTCATGTATATCTAACTTAAATGCTATTGGCTATCTTGATTTAACCTTGGAATTGATTTGAAAACTTTAATGGCTAATACTTTCATGTTTCAGTAAATAGGTCATTAGTGTTGGTTTTTGTATATCGTATTCCTCAATTGATTTAAGTTTTACTTCTTAAGCGATAAATCATCAAAATAAATCCGGGTCATTTATTTTTTTGTTAAGTTCAACTGACTTCTCACTAACGTGATATTTCCTGAAAGGTTTCTTTATTCGTTATGTCATGAACGAGGACACAAGTGGGGCAACTAACTGTATTTTGATGCAAAATTACAGTTGTTTGATAAAATGTAAAAACCATACGTTCACTAATTCATTTGCAAATCCTCCATCAGTTGTCTGAAACGTCATCGTTCCTTCATTGCCATAACAATTACTCTCTGTTCTCGTTCTTTTCTCTTCGATCTTCCCAACCATCTGCTGCCAGGCATTGTACTACTAATCTATATACTACTTATGTAGACATAAGTAGCATACACCACAATTATAATTATTTGGAGATTTTAAGAATGTTCTCCAAAGAGGTTATTGATGATTTTATATTGTCGGTTTTTGAATACACTTATTGTTTTACAGTAAATTACAATCTACTACTGAGTTCAGAACATGTTTTTTTGTCATAAAATGAAACAATCTGAGAAAACTTACCATAAATTTATACCAAAGATCTTACACAGGATTAAACCCAAAATTTGTTAATCTCGTGGTGAATACAGTACCATTCAATCTTAGTCAGAAATGATGGTTTACAACTTCTAACTTCAGTCAGTCAGTTATGTGGAGCGATAATCTTTCATTGCCGTCAGAGATAACTGCTTTCTTCTTTGCCTTATTAAAGTTCTTCAGGTAACAGTTCCTCAGTGGAACTTGGATAAGTGGATCACTATTTAGTACACTATCTTCTATTTAGATGGAAGATTTATTCCAGATCAAAACTCGTAAGATGACGCATTTTTTTCACTGCTTTGTAGTCCAAAGCTGGACAAACAGGCTGCTTCCTGATTTTATTAACCAATTTCAGCGGTCACAAACTGTCCTCAAATAAACTTTTCATATATTGTCAATTCGTTAAATATTAATTGTTTGAACATAAAGCCTTCACGACTAACGATTTACATTCAGATGAAACTATGAGTAGTCAAAGTGTGAGAATTTTTATTAGATTAGTTTATATTAATAGACAACCCGAGTAAAATTTGTTGTCATTGATATATTTATTTCATCATTGTCTAATTGTTTCACATCCAGCACATAAATTGTGACTGATTCTCTTCATTTTTATTTATGGATGGTGTTTTTCGTTAATTTGATAATAAACCAATTTGTGATTTAAGTCTAATACATAGTTTATGGCATGTCTTTCAATTCTTTCATATCCACAAAAATCGAAATGTTGATTGGATACTGAATGGATAGTCAGTGTTATTTATGTAGAGTGAACTTTTTTAACGCAAATTTGAAGGACATTTCTTTAGATATTGAAAAATATATATGTTCATTACAACAGTGTTCAGACCTTAGACAACCATTTAGAATTTATGAGTTGCTTTTATATTCAGATTGATACTAATTAGTGATGAAGTTTTCATATTCATAATTCCGAAGAATTATATTGTTCACATCATAAACTATTGAAAACAAATAGCATCATGGTAACTATTCATTTCTTCCCTACTTTTTCTGATCATATACATTTTCAAACTAACACTAGTACTAAACAATCTAAATTTCTATAGTTATCAATTTAATAAACATAGGTTTTATTTGTTATTTTGTTTCTTTTGATCTAACTAAAGATGCCCAATAATAACGTTAAACATTTCACTAGTTGATTATATCTGGAAAACGCTACGTGTTCGATCTTTATCGTAGTGAATAATTGGTATCGTAGTTTATCAGATAAACTCTGGATACCTTAATTTAAACTTATATGTTGAGATAAAGTTGTACAATGTTAGCGAGTCTTAGAATATGACAATAATAACTTTGATAATCTTTAGTTCTCAGTGTTATCAATTAGTGATAACGATTTATAAAGAAATAAAAACTAATGAATACATAAAAGCAATAAATATTTCAACTTTTCGGTTCGATTAATATAAATATATGTCATTTCTTCTGAAATTGTCATATATATAGTTATAACTTGTAGCCTTGTACCCAATGACACATAATCTCGTACGAGCAGTTTAGAGTCCTTGTCGGTCCTTTTTCTTGCTTAGCCTTGCCTGTTGAGACCAAAACACCGATATCAGCCTCCGTGATAGGAATCATATATTTCAAACATACTGGGTTTAATTACAAACATTTGTATAAGACCTAGCCAAAAGTGACCGTGTCTGTGGGAGATTGTAATTAATAATCTGAGCATAACTTAAGAATGGTAAATCGTATAATGATAGTCTATAGGTCAAATAAAAGCTGATAATAAGCGGAATTTGAAAATACACAGTTTAATTAGTTAACAATTATACAATAAAAATATATGTATAGTATTAGTCCATGAATAGATCCCAACAATTACCATTCGTTATTCTCGTCGGGATAAATAAATAAATAAATATATATATATATATATATATATATATATATATATATATATATATATATATATATATATATATATATATATATATATATTGGACTGCATTATTGTGCCAATACATTTTCTTTATATTTTTTGAATCTTTTCCTCAGGTCGATTTTTTCGATAAGAAGAAAGATTTTGAACTTTTCAAGGCTAAGAAATTTGAGATGGAGTTGTTACATAGCGCGAGTTCACAGAGTTAGTGGTTGCACTCAGTACGTAATTTAGTGTATACATGAAATTAATTTATCCCGGATTTTTATAAATACACATTAAAAATATTTCCAGAGAATCCAGTTTTTTTAAAACTACATATTTATATAATAGCTGAAACACAAATGACATTTGATAGAATAATGTGTAGATACAATTGACTCGGTACTTAAATTACAAGGCAACGTGTTCGTAGATAGTGTTAGGTATGGTGGTTGTAAAAACGTATGTTGAATCATGAGTTTTATTTTACGATTTACTAATTCAGAAAAAAATATTTATAAGCTGGGATTTTAAATAAAGATTGTTTTCATGGTCGCATTTGAGTGCTGCAATGTGTAGTTGATCAGAATTGTGATAATTATTGAATACATGTAATCTGAACTAAACAACGTTAAGGAACTTGATGTGTTCAAATTATATTTCCATCTCAATGTTAACAATTTTAAAACATTAGCTATCCATCAAACCTTTATTAATTCGGAGACGAGAAGTATTCGGTCGTGTGATTAGTCAGTTTTAAGTTTGAGTGAAATTCTTATAAATATTTAGAAAAATAACGCAAATATGACTGCAAGTTCCTAAAAGAACAGTTAACTTATGATCAAAAAGTACCAGGTTGTATTTCATCGATAGACCCATACATTATAAGATTTGCATCTATTTCTCTAGTAATATGAACGCCTTTTTCACTGAAATGAAAACAGACTATCAGAGAAATCAGAACCGGTTATTTCCAACGAAAGTAGTTTATTTTATTCGAAAACAACTTATTTTTCGAAAAGACTTTAAAGAAAAAGTATATGAAATTTAATTAGTTACTTTCTTAAATTCTAATTGTTAAGGTATTTTGAAGATTTTATCACTAAACAACACCAATTGCAATACCATTGAGAAATGAGGAATGCCGTCCAATCCAAATATAAAGCGACGGAAATTCTTACTCACTTCATTCGATGGTATCCAATTAAAACTTTTGGTTTGAAGCAAGTCGGACAACACTCATCTAATGACTCTAAATATGATGATTAACGTATTCATATCTCCCACCTTGTGTTATACGACCATTACTAAATATTATCAGTGTACAGCTCTCTCATTCTCTACTGAGTTAATATCAACGGTTATGGTTTCTCACTGCAACTTAGGAAAATAATGGATCAGAACGAACTAATCAAGCTTTGTCACTGAACTCAACACCACGTATTACACTATTTGTGCAGTCTCAGTTACCCAAAGTCCCTCCCAACTGTACTTACAAATCCGCATATATGTTAGGAAGCGAGATCAATCGATTCCTCTTAGAATGTCTTGCATATCTGCAGACCAGGCTCCAGGTAGTCTGTAAGTGTGATTGTACACCACACAAAGATATTATTACTTTGTATCCACTATTTTTAGTAGACTGGAATCCAGAAACCTTCTGCATATAAAGTGGAACAGTCGTCAACACAATATTGCTTAATTATAATAATCAGCATTTTGAAAATATATTGATTTCACTGAACCTTTTTTATGATTCTTTTCCTCTACATATGAGTAAAACCTTTGCTAGTATTAGGAAAACTGTTAGAAGCATATATGATATGTTGTACAATCTTCCAAAACAATTATAAATGTAAAGCACGTTGATTATATAAATTGCTTACTTTGTTATATGAAAACGGAATGTCTTCACACGAGATACTATCTATATTGTGTGAGTCTACCAATAGATATTACTACTTTCTCTTATTGATGTATTCGTACCTGAGTCCATGCAGTTGGATCCAAAAGTAAAGACTTATCCTTCGGGTACGTTGGGTTAATCAGACATAAGCCAAATAATAAGTGAGAAATGTTGACGGGCGCACACTATTAGTCAAGAATTGGTTAACCGTTCTGTGGAAACAAAAATACACTGTTAGTTAGAAATGCGATTTAATTTTCTGAGGAACATGTACTTATATCTGCGAATAAGTTGTGATTGCATTTTTGATTGGGTTAGCCAATAAAAGTCTCCTACTCATTTTTGATGGTATCACTCCGATAGCTAGCTTGGAGACATATACGAAGTGTGTACATCAAACGAACTATACTTTTCCTATTTTCGAGACCGAGAATTAATAAGTAGTGAAAGAAATCAACAGAAAGTTATCACAATGGTATTCTTTTTATCTCACCTCCAAAAAAGAGAAAAAAAAAACGAAGCCCCAGTTACATACTAGTAAAACTACTGCTGCTACCACTACAAGGAGTAAGTAGTGACAGTAGCAAAAAATTACCATATATATATATATATATATATATATATATATATATATAAAGTTGTGAGATTTAATAAAATTACCAGTAATCATGATTATAAGACTAGTTATAGAAAGATAATAATTATTGGCAATATTGCTTGTTAGCTTTGAGATCCCTCTCCATAATCGGAAAAAAACCATTGCATGTATACGATAGTAATTAGTAAGTAGTGTTCTTGAAATATGAAGGAAACTATATTCAAAGCGTGAAAGAACATATCAGTGAAAATAAACTGATCTGTATGATGATGTATGAGAGTAATCAAATAATGAGTAAGGTTGTCATGAACAGCAACTATTGTATGGTTAAAACAGTTCTCGTTCTTGAGCGTAATAGATTGCTTTAACTACAGATAGCAAACAATAAAAAATGATTATTTTAGTTTCTATAATGCATATTATTAGTAAAGAGATTAATGAAACTTAATGATCAGTAATACAGTTTGTTATCATTATTCAGTTATGTCAGCAGGGTTAAAATTAGTTGAATCAACTAACATTTTAGTGGTAATAAAATATGTTTTTTCTTGCATTTGTAAGAATTCATTATATACGCGCTGTATGAGAATAAATGTATTTCTTATGTCAATATATAATTATAATAAAAATGAAATGTTTGCACAAAAAATACTGGATCATCAAAGAGAAAATAATAAGTATTATCTGTATTTAATATTGAGTGAATAAAGTCCAGTTTCGTTTTTGATAACTGGTCTCTGTTCTGATGATTCTTTATACAAGGCTACAGTGAATATTGTTAGAAGAGAGGGGAGGGCATGAAATTTTACAAGATGGATTGGTAGTTGGCAGTAATTTGTGTTGCAATCTGTTTTTTGCTGCTGTCGTCTTCATCAATACCACAGCCACGAAGACCAGAGAATTCTCTTCATAAAAGCACTTTGTAAGATAGTTTCGAATCATATACACACACAGAGAGAATAGTACACGTACTGTATTGATGTTATTGTTTGAACACGTAGTTGGAATAAAGTTAACGATGAATTAAAAGATAAAAATTATTTTTAAGGAAAAGAAACAAACTTTCCACAGTTCTGTTGGTAATTCTGAATTCATTAAATCCTGCTGTTGTTTTGTTTCTCAACAAAAATTATTGTTTTATTTTATTAGCCAACAAACAAGTACACATTAACAGTTCACTGATTATTAATCAAAGAAATAAAGGTTTGATTTTTTGTATTTCTAATAAATCCTTAAGATAAAATGTTTTCCAAGGATCCTTTTTCAATGAAAGAAATTCAATGTATAGAATGGCACAAAATTATTTACGTCGAGTTTATTTTTTGTATTTTGTATGGAAATAACTATAAATATTTCGCAAAAATATAAGGAAATATAAGACAGGAAAAGAACAATTCACAGCAGTCTTTGAAGATTAACATAAAACTCCTATATATGTATATGTGAATTGAAGGACGAGTTGACAGTGCTTTGTTGTTTTGTTTCTTATAAATATTACATTTTACTAAGGAATCCAGGTTTTGGAATACCACTTAGACTGCCTGTTATTGTGCCAAGTATCGATCGTGTTGGACTACTTCCTATATCAGGTCGAACAGCTTGAGCAGTTTCTTCCATCTATAATAAACATAGTGAAAAATTTATTATTCTTCTGCATAGAACACAAGGATTTTTTTAATAAAAGAAAGTAATAAAATTCGATTTCACTTAAACAGTATTATAACCATCTCTTCAGGAACTAGTTTACTTAACCGTTATTTTTCCTTAAGATTTATCATCGACTCATTTTAAAAGCTAATTTTGAATATTGTAAAGAATACTTATTGAAATCATACTTGTTTATCATGAAATAATAATCATGGTTATACTTTCAGAAACTTATGTTCCTAATTGAAAGCAATAGATTTATGTTAATTGATTATTACATAACACAAATGGTATTATCAGCGGAAGAAGCTGAATGATAAACATTTAATAAAAAGAATATATTGTGATATCGGAGTTACTTTTTCTTTAATAAATAAATCTATAGTTTTTTCTTTTAGAAAAGACCAATTGTTTTCTGTACGTGTCTAAATTCGGTTGGCTATTATTCCGTTTTATACTTATTCCTATCTGTGAAACAATAAAGTAAATAGTTTATACTGAAAAATCACTGAGTAGTAATCAACATTATGTTTACCTGTCTAGTGCTTAATGTTGATCGATATTTACATTTTACTAGACATTATACAAGGAATAACATGAATTTATTAAATCCCTTGGAATTTATATAAAAACATTTTATGTGTTACATGGTTTGAAAAGTTTTTTCCAAGTTAAATATATATTTGAACAGGGAAAATGTTCAAACAAATATATATATATGAAATATGTACGAATTACGGTTATAAATACTATAAAGTAAATAAGTACATTGAAAGAGTATATAAGCTAAGAAAGAAGAGGTATGATTAATGTACATTCTAATTATACACGTAAAAAAATGAGGAATATCTCATCATATTATATATGATTTCATAAATATGGTTGAAGTCATGAATCAACTATCACCTTTTGACGAATTAAAGGATTCTGGAAATCATCAATATGTTAATTTCGAAATAACTTGCCTTTGGCTAATTCATGATTGAAGGCAAGATAGGAAGGTAGTTTTTAGGAGCCTAGTATTAATCCATATAGTTTATATGAACTTAACCTTAATCTTTTCAAGTGAATGAACTATAGATTGTTGTCAAAGTTTCAAGATAGTTAGGGCAAAAGGATAGTGTAAGTGTGAGAAGGTCAGAACTGAGAAAACGATTTTTGAACTTCAGTGCCAGCTTCATAAAGGAATAAGCTTTGTTTTATATCACGTAAAGCAAATAGAATAAATAAGTTTAAGCAGCACTATAAATGCTAAAAATGATAATAAAAAATGTTTTACCACAGCAGAGTGGAAGTGATGGTGTAAAATGTATCAAGTGTTCGATTTTATATAACATATAAACCAACGCTGTCCTTAAATCCTAACTTTAGGCCCTTAACATTTAATCTTTACCCTTAATCCACAATTTTAGTCAGGAATAATGAGGAAACTTCGGGAAATCTGTTTGCGTTTTCATGAGTTTGATAGGACAGATAATCGACATACATTTGGGAGAATTTAGCTGTTATTGGTTTTGGATTTACAGGCAAAACAATCTGTAGAAAGCTTCGAAAAATTCATAAATAATATAGAATCTTTTCACTCTTTACAATTTTATTGTTTATTTTCCATAAACTATCCGTTGACAAAAACTACCACCTGACAAACAAACAGCTGGCTAAAATTTTCGTTTGTTTCAAGATCATCTTTATAGTATTACCATAAATTGTTTGAGAAATCCCCGTAAGCTCGACTACAATTTAATATCATGGAATAATCGTGATGTAACTGACAGGGGAAAAATTCTCACTTGTGAATAAAATAATTCATGGCACCAAAAAAACGTAACTATACCCTGAATCTTCAGGACATAATTAAACTTAATCCAAACATAAACCGCTGAAATATCTGAATACCAGAAAAATTAATTATTGCATTTGGAAATCTGTAATAATATTGAACAAATGATTATCATTAAAGTTAGACGTTAACACCATTGGGTACCGACTCAGTGGTTTTATCTAGAGGTTGATTGTTCGCGCGTGAAGCCGAAGAACCTTCATTCGATTCTCACTGTTGAGGAGTTTCATACTAGGACAAAACGGCCGTTCAGTGCTTCCAAGTTTCCAGTGGTGGGCTAACATAGATTAGTTCATGATTTAAATGAAATTCAACAATCTGCACAACGCCTTACTGACGATTACTAAACAGTAAAATAAATCTATATCAAGAAACAATCACAACTGATACTATGTGAAAATGAGATAGCATACTTGAAGTCTTTGCATAATTGTCTTGTAAGCCATTGTATCCAATGCATCTGGGCTGATACCTTGAAGTTCAAAATCCGAATACATTTTCTAAAATGTAACATTATCAATAGAAGAAATAAGTGGATCTCATAAATACATAATTTAGTAAACAATTATTTGCAAACACAAATAGTTAATATAGAATTATGATATAAATTATTTCATAATATAAAGCTACCTTAAAAGCTGTTGTGCAAAAAGTATTAATGAACTGTCCTCTCATAGTTTAAGTGGGGTTTCTGAAAAAATCATTTTCGAACCTTAAAAGAATTATAAGTTGGATGCAATACTGGTCATTGAATTATTTCAAGATGGATTTTCTTTAAGATTGAATGAAGAAAATGACTTGAACTAAAATAAAAATGACATGTATAGATCATTCACTCTAAGTGACAGATATAATGTATGACGAATTGAATGAGACTTGATTCCAATACAACTAA